AGCAGATGAGGATGCCCCCCTTATCCGCACATCATGTGAATCCTTGTGGGATATAGGCGGATAGCAAACGAATTCAATGGAAGTTTTATTCAGTAAATATATAAGATGTGAATTAACGTAAAATACAAGTTATATAAAGCCAGGATAAAACAGAAGTAGAAATCAGGCTGGCTGAGGGGTGGTCCACTGTGCTCGACTCGCCCTGTGGATTACGAGGATGCTAGGTAGGATAGGGATAGGATGGGGGCAGGAGTGGATAGGGTTAAAGGTAGAAGGTAGGACAAACGGGAGAAAAGGAATGAGGAAGGGAGGAATGAGCGTAGAAGTAGAGGAAAGCGAAAAAGCGAAGGAACACGAAGAGGGTGCGAATAAGAGGGGTACGAGGGGAAATGCGGCAGGATACAGGATAGGATAGGGATAGGATAGGTTAGAGATGAAGATAAGAAGTAGAACAAGCAGAGGAAAAGAGTAAAAGAGGGAGAAACTAGCACAGAAATAGAGGGGAGTATAAAAAGCGAGGGGACAGGAGAGGGTGCGAATAAGGAGAGGGATATGAGGATAGAGGAAAAAAAGGGGGGGGAAGGATAGGTGATGGGTAAGTAAGGTCTGTGTGTTTGTGGGGGGGGGAGGAGGTTGAAAACCTCACACGTACTCATGCACGGCATCGCTCAACCTCTGGGACTCTCGTCTCCACAGCACACAAGGGTGCCACACACAGAAAACACCTGGGTAGGGGAAAACCTTAGGAAAGATCAGAGGGGATGCAATCGAACCTACAGGATAAGGATCATTGGTAGGACCCCCTTGGTCATCCCACCCCAATGAACCGGTCAAACGGGGGCCACCCAAAGACTGGCTCACTTGAGAGAGGGAGCTCAAGATCCTGCACTATGACGGAGCGAATCCTGTTGCAGGACAGACGTTGAAGTTCTTAAACTATATACATTGTGTTTGTGCAGCCGTGTGTGTAGACATACGTTCGAGCGTATGCGGGTTTCATGGTCTTTCCGTGTAGTCCATAAATTGTGGCTACGTTCCCTCATAGAACACTCATATGTATATATGTATGAATATATATTATATAGATATATAGATATTCTCTCCTTGTATTTCTGATGAAGATATAATCGTCATCATCATGTATCACACCAGAATTCTATCCATATCTTGGCCCTATAAGTGACCTTTTGTAGGTCAGGTGTACTAATATTGACAGAGTTTCTTGGATAGTTAAAAAGGATATGGTCCATATCTTGGATAGGGAACCCGCAATCACACGTAGTGGACGTGGCAAGGCCCCATTTTGTTAAATTATCCCGGGTTCTACCAACACCAGATCTGGCACGGTTAAGGGTGCACCATTCTTTCCTACCAAGGTTTGTACCTTTTGGTAGTTTTTCTTTCGGTATTGGTATGGTAGGGTGTTCTGGTCCCAGGTTTTCCTTTTCTCTCCATCTATTCATTCTGTAATGCCTTGGAGTTATACCGTCAGGCAGCCTTTCGACTGTGGTAAAACTTTTCCTAGATCTTAGTCTGGTCGGGGGTGGTATGTGGGAGTAAAGTGGGTGTCGATCGCCTTGCTCTTGCTTGCGTTTTTCCACTCTGGTGGTTGTTTCTCTTCTCAGGGCTGGAGGTGGAATACCTGAGAGTCTATGAACGACATTCACTGGAGCAGGTCTCAATGCACCAGTTATCACGCGGTAAGCTTCGTTTAGTACTGGGTCTATTTTGTTGGCATGTGAGGATCGAGACCACACTGGGGTACAATATTCTGCTGTAGAATAGCACAGAGCCAGGACAGCTGTCCTTAAGGTCTGAGGGTCCGTGCCCCATTTTGTTCCAGCCAGTTTTTTTCACAAGATTAAGGCGTGAAGACACCTTTTTTCCGAAACCTCTCAACATGTGATCTGAATGAGAGCGTTCTATCAAGGGTTACACCCAGGTAAGTGGGGGTGATCGTCATGAATGAGGGATTTACCATTCCAATCGATGTTCAGCTTTCGGGAGGCCTCTCGGTTATTAAGGTGGAAGGCACATACTTTAGTTTTCCCTGGTTGGCGTTTAGTTACCAATCCTCATAATATCTCTCAATCTGCTTCTGCCAAAGTCGCCTCAATAAGTTCTTTGCTTGTGTGGCAACACAGAGATCATCCGCATAGATGAAACGTTTTGTGTTGGGATAAGAAGGTTAGTCATTGGTCCAGATGTTGAAAAGCAGGGGGGGATAACACTGATCCCTGTGGAAGTCCGTTCTTTTGACTTCTCCATCTGCTCTTTCTGCCATCCATTTCGAAATAAAATCGTCGGTTGTTGAGTAAGTGCCTCAGGACATTTACCATGTGTCCATTTTATCTACATATTAGCCATTTTCATTAGCAGGCACCGGTGGTTGACCGTGTCATAAGCTGCTCTGAGGTCAACCAGGACTATTCCTGTTTTAAGCTTCTTCTCAAATCCATCCTCAATAAACTGGACAAGATTAAGAACTTGGCCACAACAGGAGCGCCCTTTTCTGAAGCCAACTTGCTCCTCAATGAGTTGGTCTTCGACTGATGGAGCTAGTCTATTGAGGAGTAGTTTTTCGAAAAGCTTGTAGGAGGTACACAGGAGTGAGATAGGGCGGTAGCTCTCTGGTTTCTCTGGGTCTTTCCCAGGTTTTAGGAGAGATACAACCTTAGCCCGTTTCCATTTCTTTGGGTCTTAGCGATGATAAACATCGGTTGAAAAGAGAAAGAAGCCAATGCTTTGCCCTTGGTCCCAGATTTTTTTTACGTCTCATTGTGGATGCCATCAATGCCGATTGCTTTATTTGCTTTCGGTGATTTGATTTCCAATGTTAGCTCCTTCATTGTAAAATGAGGAAGAGTCTATACATTCTTTGATGATGCTGTTATGGGATTTGATTTGTTTTGCGGGTTTAGATCAAGGCTTTCCATTTTTAAGAAGTTGGTGTGCAACCTCGTTGGGTGTTAATGCTGTTGTCCGGGCTGCTGGTTTACCTTCAGAATTCAATTTCCGGATTGTTGCCCATCCTTTTTTACTGTTTCTGCTCGTCTGTTTTCTATCATGTCATTCCACCGCTTCTTTCTCTCTTCACTAATTTCATTCATTAAGGTTTCACCCAATTGAATCGTCATTTCATTGAAAGGATCTTCAATATAAAGTCTAGCATACTCATCATACAATTCTTTAGTTTCTGGACTTAGCCCTGTGATGTAGTTTGTCCTACAGCCTCTAGGTATGTTATTTTGGGCTGCTGTCCAGATATCACGGATCCAGGCATCATAGTTCTCTGGTGTTGGAGCAATGGTATTTGCTCTTCTTTCCATTTCTTCCATAATGATACCCAATTTGCTTTATTGAAATTAAACCTAGGGAGGTAATCAAAAGCAATTGGTTTTACAATCGGTCGTGTATTTACTTCTACATGACGGTGCTGGGATCTGGGGATGTGATCCAGAACATTTCTCTGAAACACCTGCCTCCTGTTATTTGATATCAAGACTAAGTCTGGGTTATATCCTCTCTTCCAACGGGCACTGGAGAAGGTGGGAGGATCTTTGCTCTCATATAAGAGCGTTAGGTCATTATTGATGGCCCACATGATGGCATTTTCTCCATTTTGGTTATCTTCATTATATCCCCATTGGGTACTGTGGCTGTTGAATTCCCCAATTACCAAGTGGCTCTTGCAAGATACATCGAAGTCTGATGGCCATCGGAACTCCGCATTTGACGGTTTGTATGCCGATATTATTACAAGATGATCAGTTTCCAGTTTTAGGAGTTCCATTGACCCAGCCTGGATTTGTTCAGTTCATAGAACATATGCTGGGTCCTTAATAAATATAGCGCTACTATAGATAGGACTAGATGTTGAGATCGCCAGACGCATTCCTGGAACTTTCGGAACTTTCAGATATAATCGTAACAGGTCATCTCTTGTATTATGAAAATATTTATTCTCATTTATACCTTTCCTACATTTGTCAACATGAATACAATTCATCACTCTCTTTCTCTCTCTCCATATATAAATATATATATATATATATATATATATATATATATATATATATATATATATATATATATATATATATATATCAGAATGAAAAGGAGGGCCAGGGCTGTGATGAACATCTTTATTAAGTAACGTTTCGAAGAGTTATCTCTCCATCATCAGACTAAAACAGAGAATACAAGAACAAATTAGATAAGATAAAAAAGAACAATGGTAAAAAATAGTTCATAGCAGAGTAAGCAAATCAAACGGTAACAAGTGAACAAAAAAGAAACAGTCAAAAACATAGTGAAAAAATGTAAAACTTGGGTGAGGGTGAGACATACCAAAGACATGTGAGGAAGTGCTAGTTACGGTGGTTGAATTACACCGTAAACAACTGAATGGCTGTACTATTGTTCAGGTCAGGTTTCATCTTGTGGATATACATGGATTCTGAGATGAGAAGGTCAAGTTTGTTAGATGTTGTGGACAGAATTTTAAAATCACTGTGAGTGAACGGGTGATCTTGTGAGTGTGAATGCTGACGAACAGCAGAGAGAAAGGGTCTGCTCAGAGGTTGGCTCGTCCTGATAGATTTGCCCATATGTTCGAGTGTTCTATGTTTGGGCCATCGAGTGGATGACCCAATGCACCTAGCGTTACATCTAGGACAATTGAAAATATATACTATATTCGAACATAGTTCTGAAGGCAGAGGCATTCTTTTTCTAAACAACGAGTTGATACTATAGTGGTTGACAAGGGACAATGTTGAAGTTGATCTGAGGGAATGAATGTTTAAGTATTTCACGTAATTGTTTTCGAATGGTAAAACTTATATCACCAAGATACGGTAATTTTATGAACTTTGTTTCTTTGTGAGCGGTGAGGATTTTTGTGGGTGGGCTTAGTTTATTATCCAAGAATGATCTTAGGGTCTTGTAAAAAATGTTATCAGGAAAACCATTGCTATTGAAATAATTGACTAAGAATTTGATTTCGTCATCAAATTGGATCCAGGTAGAGCAAATATTAAATGCTCTATTAATTAGAGTGGTTATACTGTTAATTTTATACTTCAAAGGTGTGAAACTTAAATAATTCATTCCCAAACCGGTGAAAGTAGGTTTTCTATAAACCGAAGTAGAGAGACGTCCGTTTTCTTTGGAAATCAATGCGTCAAGAAAGGAAAGTTTGTTTTCTTTTTTGTTTTCGCACGTAAACTTAATGTTTGGATGTTGTTCATTAAGATATGACAGAAACTGTTCAATGTGTGACTGCTGTTTGAAAAGAAGAAACGTGTCATCCACGTATCTTTTGTAAAAAAAATGGTTTGAAATGATCTGGGCAGTTATTTAACCAATTTCGTTCGTGATGGCAAAGAAAAGTATTAGCATAGCTAGGGCCGAGGGGTGAACCCATGGCTACACCGTCAATTTGAGTGTAAAGTTGATTATCGAAAGAAAAACAGAGTCTCTCGTGGCAACATTTAGAAAGGAATTAAACTGTTTTTTGTTGAGACCAAAGTGTAACAAAGACTCGTCAGATGTGGTATCTGTGATAATCTGGGTGGTTTCTGACAGAGGAACGTTAGTGAATAGAGATTCAACATCAAAGCTTGCCATTATTGTAGAATCATCAATGTTGAGTTGTTTAATTTCATTTACAAATGAAACATACATATATATATATATATATATATATATATATATATATATATATATATATATATATGTATATATATACATATATGTGTGTTTGTGTGTTTGTGTGTGTGTGTGTAAATATATATACATTCATAAATGTATATATATATATATATATATATATATATATATATATATATATATATATTATATATATATATATATATATATATATATATATATATATATATATATATATATATATATATATATATATATATATATATATATATATATATATATATATATATATATATATATATATATATATATATATATATATATATATAATAGCCTCCATGAGGAGATTGCAGGCCTTGCACATCTGGGGGCACCCAGGATGATCCTGACTGTTTCATTTTGACCTGTCTTCAATTTGTCTCTTAATGTAGTGCTGCAACTAACAAGGGCGAGAGAAGCAAAGTCCACAATAGGACGGGCGGCATGTACATAGACTGCACTAGGTACTTTGTGTCCCGCTCCTGTGTTTCCCGGTCATGACTTTCATGACAGACAGCCTTGCCTTTGTTCGGCCAAGCAGGTGCTGGATCTTTTTTTTGAATGTGAGTGTGGCCTAACCAAACCTCAAAGTATTGGTAGGTCTTAACTCATTCTAAATCCATGCCTTGAACACTGAATTTTGTGTTTTTACATTAGTTTTCAGAGCCATGGCTTTTAATTTTGTTGCTGAAATCTTTAGACCCGTCTTGTAACACTTCAAACACATGGTCTAGACAACGCTGGGCTCTACTGGGGCAGTGCTTACCAGAGGAGATGACTGTGCAGCCCTGTGGCAGGTAGGTGTATGTTGATGCTGGACATGAGAGTGTAAAAAGGGAAGGACTGAGGACCCAACCCTGTGGCGTTACATTTTCTATAGGCATGTGCTGTGATAGGTGACCTTGTAATCTAACTTTGACTTTTCTTTTGTTGAAAGTCGTCACCTATCCGGGCCTCTGGATTAGGGTCTCCTGAAGGGTAAAAGGACTTGCTCGCCCAGAAGCTTTCTCCAGATCTAGGAATACAACCACAGAGGGAGTAGTGCATATTGTGCTTAAGAGTGTGACGATGTTGTGTGTTGTGCTCATGCCCCTTGTGAACCCGTGCTGGTGTACATGAGGCGGTCCCATTTTCCATCGGAGCCGATTCAGTACCATCCTCTCGTCTCGTTTGCCCAGACAGCTGAGGGAAATGGGATGGTGGTACCTGCCTGGTTCCTTTGGCTTTGGGATGGGAACTATTACAGTTTTTCCAGCTCTGGGGTAGCATGGAAGTTTGCCAGGACTTCTCGATGAGCTACAGGAATGCAAGCTTACCTGCAAGACCTAGGTGTAAAATGATGGGGTAGAAAATGCCATGAGAGCCCGGGGCTGATCCAGAACTGGTTTTATATATTTTTCTTAGTTCCCCGAGGGAGAACATGGCATCCGAATCATCAGGGTGCAGTGCCTGATGATTGTGGGGAGTTCTTTACCGTCGGAAGTTTTTTTCTGCATATGTTGACCATGTTCTCGTCATTACAGTGCCAGGCGTCTAGACCATGGGCGAGTTTTGGGGTGGTCTGAGAGGCTGCCTGGTTTATGGCCTGAACAAGTCTTGCCTCGAGTACGCCCACGTTTTCGCTGTGTGAGGGTTCATAGAATCTAAGACAGTGGACCATGCCATTCTGAAAGGCTTGCCAATTGGCCTTTCTGTTTTCCATTTCCGGTTGTGCTGTGGGGATGGGGAGAGGAGATAGCGGAGTGAACACGTGGTGGAGAACGGAAACAAGGGGAGGTCAGGTTAGGTCGAAAGATCAGGCGGTCTATGCGAAGGATGGCCGGCATAAGGGAGAAGACAGAGGATGTGGGAAGCAAAAAGACTGTCGGCAAGAGGAAAGACGCTGTTCAAGTTAAAAATAGGTAGCAGCTTGATTAAGGAAAATTCCACGTCTGCGTGCATGAACAGCAGCGGATGGAAAGACAATGCACGCTGCTGACCGCTGCTGACCGATTCCACTGATGGCAGAAAAGGGCGTTGCTGGATATGTATTTATGCCGATACTTTCCGTGGGAGTATGGAGTTTCGCATATATAATATACCGATACTCTCTTTGCCAACTATCATTTTCACTTTTTTACCAAAAATGACACATAGCAAGGTTTGTCATACGTGACATTTAGATCCATAATCATGTTATTCATATTTGTGTGTCTACAGTAAATTTTACAATCTCGCGATATTGCCCGGGATCTTACCTTTACTTCTATCTATCATCACGTAGTTTTCTCGTTCGATATCTACCATCTGTGTATTTACGTGTCTGCGTATGAATTGTTTAATAATAGGTAGAGAGAGAGAGAAAGGGCTTATGTGAAGTAACAACTGAAAATTAAAAAAAAAGGAGAATTGGCACGCAAATCATCTCTCTAATAAGAGTAAAAAAGGAAATCTGAAAATAATTCCCCCAAACTGATTTATTTCGATTTTCCGAAGTCAAGTTTTATTTTCCCGCGAAAATCCGGAACCCGGATGTGTGACGTCAATTCCAGAACACGATCACAGTATTCTCTGCATTCAATACATTGTACATGGCGCACTCACTACAAAACTACAGCGGCAGTGAAATTTCATCGGATTATTCCGAAGAGGACATTGGTATAAGTTCTTCAGAGGGTGCCTACGTCTTCGAAGAGTTGGAAGAAGAGGAATATCAAGGGTTGGTGGTTGTTGGACCGTACATGCACGAGCCCGATGCTATGGATGTCCTGGAAGTTGTGCCAAACCAGCCAGACATAGAGTGGCGTCGAGACCGGAAGAGATTGAATGAAAGGTAATTTTCTAAATTATTTTATATAGTCGAACTTGTGATCCCGCTTCTGTATGGTACAAAATTTCTGCAGGCTGAGCTAACTCTTGTCTGCACCCGTGGCGCAGGCTACATCCATTCGCGAGTGAAGGGGCACCGGTATTTATTTGTGTTGTGCTTTTTGGGGTGTACCTACCCTACCTCTGTGTAGTAATACATGCACACTTGCAATGCACTCGGCACACTGTGTCGTACCCATGCAATGAATGTTTGCTACGCCACCAAGCAAAAGC